TCAATTATCACACATTGCACTATTATCTTCAGTTTTAAAATTTGCCTGACAAAAAAAGTTATTCACAAAATTGAATACTATAATCAAGCTTGACAGTGAGTCTTGTTATTTATTTTCTTTTTGAGACGTAGAAAAATATGAATTCAGAGAAAAAGAAGAGAAAATTCTTGCCCGAAGAATTCATGAATATTATCAATAGCAATTCGAAAAAAATTACAAATCTTCTTTATAGTATTTAGAGTTGATAAATTTTAATATAAAAAAAAAGAGTGAATAACTTTGTGATTTTACTCTTATTAGTCCTATAAACGTAACATTTTTTAACTGAACAAGGAATACTCCTAAACTTAAAAGGAGTTAAAATTCTAGCAGGATTTAATAACTAAATTTGCAAACCTTCTTTATTAGTTTTCTTTTACAAATTTAAAATGAGGAAGGATGTAATATACAAAATTTAGTTAATTTTAAAGTCCTAAATATTAGATAAATAATTAAATGTGTATTCATAAATATTAGTAAAATGATTAAATGACTGTTTTGTTTAGTGTGAAATCTATTCTTGTAATAGCTACAACTTTGCAGTTCAAAATGAAAACTACCCAAAGTTCCGCTGATATAGACAGTGGAATAATAGCTTCTTCGATAAATGTGTTTGCCTATATATTTCGAAAAAAGAAAAGAATTTATATAAGATAAAATTGTATAATTAAAATAGACAAAGAAAAGTAAGGATTCCTAATTCGAAAGAATAAAAGAGAACTCTAAACTAAAGGAATTGAAAGTGCTCGAATAAAAAATACTCCTAAACCAAAAAGGAGTTGTAACCAGTTAAAACTTAATAAAGGACCAAAGGAATTGATGTTAAAATTTAAATGTACAATATAATGATGCGGTGAGGAGTAGTCCAAAAAGATAAAGTCCTAAAGGAATTTGACCCAAAATCAACTTTGTAGGCTTGTCATATGTGTAGTTCGAACCGGAAAAGAATTTCAGTTTTAGGTGACTTACAATTATATCCTCAAATTATACAAATATTTAAGGTTATAAAAGTCGATCAATATTTTAAGGATATTTTAGTCGTTCAACATTTAGCATAAATTATTCGTGCTTTTATAATAATATAGATAGAGATAGATATAGATAGATTGATTGATGATATTGATATAAAATAGATAGATAGATAGATATAAATAAGGGAAACTTACACAAATGTCCCAAATAAATCTCAACTTACCAACCTCTAGCCATTAGTCATAGACTTACCAAAACTAGCCAACAAAAATTGAAAAACCAAATAATAGGGTTCTTCTCTCAAAGAATCACATGCAAAAATCACCTTCCATATTTTTAAGCGTGATTAGCAACATTAGACACAAGATGGGAAGGAAATTTCATGGACGGGGTAGCAAATAAGGTGATGAAATACAAAAATCTATACAACATTCCAAAAATCTAAACAAAAAAGGAACTTTTTCGATGGGTATAGTTGAAATTCATTGAAAATATATAGATAAGTCAATATACAAAATTTGAGGAAGATTGGAGGTGATTTGGACTGGTTTTGTATCAAAATTCGTAATTAAATCGAGTTCAAAAAAGTCTTCTGCGACACATGTATCAAACATGTATCACGCATGTATCACACACACAGGTATACATGTCATACACAATTGATACAAATATGATACATATGTGATACACAAATGATACACAGTGTGATACACATATCATTTTTTTTTCATGTTCAGCTTTTACTTCGAATTTTCAATTCAAACCACCTCAAAACTTCACCAAATCATCCAAAAACTGAGATTCAAGCTCCTTAAGTTGTGCCCAATCTATTATAATAACACCCACTCAAAACAAAGCAAAAATTTGATATTTTTTGCTACAAATAGCTAATTGGCTAATTTGACTAATATTAGTAATATTTTATCAATTGGCCAATTTTTGTAATGAGCTACTTATAAATGGACATAGCTGGTAATTTCCCTATAAATAAATATAGATTAGACAAATCGGTTTTTTATTAAAAGTACTTTTGAAAAGAACTTGTTTATAAAATGTACTTTTCCATATTTTTTTTTTCAAAATAAGCTGAAGCTTGCCCCAACATGCTGAGCAACAAGCCCGACCCGTTTAACAATTGGTCCGATCATCCTCTTTCCATCCGCATCATCATCTAAGCTCTCTTCCTCTCTCCGATCTCTGCAACGAGAGAAAAGCTCAACTACAATTCTCTGCACTTCTCAAGTAAGTGAATCTTTGTCAAATTGCTGGTTGAAACATGATCTAGAATCCCAGATTTTTCTTCAGAAAACACACACACACATACAGAGCTGTCAGTTGTAAGACTTTTTCTGTAGAATTTATCAAGATCTGATTTAAAGATCAGCCCCCAAAATGTCTTGTTTGGCACTTTCCCTTCAACCCACAAATGGACCTGACATCTTACTCCAAACCCGTGAATGGTTCCCTCCTTCTCGTGCCCTAATGGCCCTTTCCGCTTTTCGCCAAACCCGCCTTGCCTTTTCCAAACAAGCCCAACCACCCACCCCCTCTGACTCTTCTTCTGATCCTTCTATGTCCCTTGGTGATGACCCGCTCGCTGCTTCTTCGGGTCAAGTTATTGTTGGTGTCGAATCCAGGTACCGTGTTGTATACCGCCTTGTTAACTCGATTTATGTCCTTGCTATTACCACTGCTGATGATAATAACGACAAAGAAATGGTTGTTAATAATGTGTTTGAGTGTATTAGTATTGTGAATCAAGCTGTTTCTGTGGTGGTTACTGCATGCCGGGGTGTTGATGTCACTCCGGAGAAGTTAGCTAAGAAGTACGCAGAGATATATATGGCTTTGGATATTGTGTTAAGAGGGGTTAGTAATATTAGGCTGGCGGCTATGTTGGCGTCTATGCACGGGGAGAGTATAGCCAAGATGGTGCATTCTGCTATTCATACGGAGAATAAGATCAGGGGAGCTGATAGTTGGGTGAATGTGGAGGCTCATGCGTTGGAACAAGAAGGTGGAGTGGAATCGTTCTCAAAAGTCTTGTTTGAGTTGCCTCAGGAGACGTTGGAGGCGGGTGATGAGGTGGCAGCATCGTTGGCGATTACGGGTGGAGAAAAGGAGGAGGAGAAAATTGAGGAGATTGAGGCGGAGAAAGATCCATTTGCTGCAAGTGATATGATTAATAAGCCGGAGTCTTTGGTAGGTGATTTTAAGAAGGATAAGGATAAGGATAGTTCGGATGTATCGAAAGCATTGGCAGGGCTTGAGGTGACTACCTTGCCACCTGCTGCAGCTACCCAGTCAACCCATATTGGTGTGGAAGGGTTTGAAGGGGATTATGGTGGGATAGAGTTTAGTAATGATGGATCAACTCTGCAGCAGGACTTTGAAGGGATTAATGATGCTTGGGGTGGTGGATTAGATGCTTCAGAGTATGTGGGAACTAAAAAGGTGAAGAAAGATCAGGGTCTTGGTGGGCTTGAGTTACTGGAGACTAGTGAACCACCTAAAGTTGCAGCTGGAGCTGCTACTGATGGTGGTGCTGGGAAAAAACTTGAGGATATTTTGGTGAAGAAAATGAATGGTCCAGAAATGTTCATCACCGAGGAGATCAGTGCGGAGTTCAGAGAATCGTTGCTTGCTAGGGTTGGGTTGATGGGCGTTGTTTTCTTAAGAACAGTGCCCCCAAAGTCTTCTGATGATAAGGAAACTGAGTTTTCCTTCAAGGTTGAAGGCACTGCTGGTGTTAAGAGGTTTGTCATGCAAAACTCTCATGTGAGCAGCCTTGGGAATGGTTTGTTTCATGTGAAGACAGCACCTTCAAATGAGCCTATACCTATTATTAAGTACAGTTTGCTGCCGCGTTTAACTCCATTGCCTTTGAGGATTCGACTTGTTAAGCGTCTTAGTGGGACATTACTTTCTGTAATGCTGCAGTACGTTGCAAATCCTGATCTTCCAGTTCCATTAACCAATGTAACCTTTGTCCTGAAATTGCCAGTAGACCCCACATTATTGAAAGTTACACCCAAAGCTGTATTGAACCGGTCTGAGAGAGAACTGAAATGGCATGTTGATGAGATCCCACTCAAGGGTCATCCTGGTAAGCTGAGGGCGAGGTTCCCTGTAGATATTAATGATGATGATGGTGGGGAAGAGCTAGTGCTTTTTGGTTACGTAAAGTTTTCATCCCAAGGGCCTAGATCTTTGTCTGGCATTTCTCTGCAGCCAGCTATAGAGGGCAAGGCCGATTTTTATGAGGTTGATCACAGGTATTCAAGTGGAGTTTACACGTGCAATTAAGCATCAAAGATTTTTTATTTGTTGGTTTCAAAATTGTGTTTTTTGCTTTCTATCTTCTCGACATGGTATGAGATGTCAAAGTATTTGCAGCTTTCTTTGAATGTACTAGAATGTAATCTAGGTGATCTGTTCTTTTGAGGAATTCTTGTGTTTAAATCTTTTCAGTCGTTCTCTTTATGTAATGGGACAAAACATTTTGATATCTGATGTATGTGGTCCAAATAAAATGTTTTGTTTTCTGGGTCTTAACATCTGTACCTTCTCTTGTTTGTGAGAGAAATTCTGGAACATTTTGTCCTGGGAATCATTATAAGCAATCTGTCAGGTTTGTTGCTTGCTACATATAAATGTAGAATTGTTGTTTCATGGCTGTGGTTATCTTGGACCTTATATGCAAAGGGTGATTCATTAACTGCACTGCCTGAGAACTTTTCGAAGAAATTCTGGTGATTAAACAATCAACTCTATTTGTCATCAGTAGAAGTGTCGTTCGGTTGCAGAAACTTATGTTTACATCATACTTATTTGCATCTTGGCTTATGGAGTTGTTTTTCTTGAAATCAGTAAATATTTTTGAACTATTGTTATTGGCTCCAATGTTGTGTCCTCCCTGTACTAAAATTTCACAGAATGTGGATAGGACTAGGGATACATTGTTGGTTCGAAATTCAGAGTGAATCTGTACAATCTGCAATGTATTTAAATAGTTAAAATAAATCATATTAGCCATTAATGGAACTCCCATTTGTCCACAAAAGAAGAGTCCGGCAAAACCAAGCATTGAACCTGTGGATGTGCATCAATCCCTTGAAAAGGTTCTCCGTCCCTCCTTGTCTACAGGCACTAAAATTGACACCTAGAGACAGTTTTTCCACACCTTTGTACTTCTGCATTTGCAGTAAAAACACCGAAGCCTGGACAAACTCTCTGGCCAAGTTCCCTGGTTCAGTGAATGCCCTTCTACAAGAACACGTTGTTAGGTCGTGTTTGAAGCACAGCTGAGCTTCAAAGAGCATTATCTGCACCGAAGAAAGCATACAGTGATAATATGCGGAAAATGTTGCATGTAGGCCCTGAGTCTTGTTCAGCAGTGTCTAAACTATTAAAAGAAGAGGATACTGAAGCTTGGGGCTTTGAACCATATGGTTTAGATGAAACTGATAGCAAATGCAAGGCTCTTGTTCACAAGGGGATTTTGCTAGTAGCAAATATCAAGTTTCTACTTCCCTACCTTTCAAATTTCAAAGTCGTTCTCTCTTGTCGTAGTGTTGGATGCAGTGGATTAATGATCTCCAAGATATCTAACAAGACTCTTCCAGAGTTGGCAAGGGTGGCTGCTGATGGTTTAGTTATTTTACCTGGTAAATACTATTAACTTTGGTCATTACAATTTTCTTAAATTGTTCAGCTGGTACACTATTTTGGAGCTGGTGATATTAAACTGAGGTAAGGTTACTCTGGCATATTATTTACTATAAGAAGGCAGTTATTGTTGTGATGTTTGACCTTATAATAAAAACCATTTCACATGTGGCTAAAATATTTGATTGCGTTCTTAGGTTATCTTGGTCACCAAAGGTTAAAGTGGCGGAGCTATCAAATTTGGCTGCCTAGTAAGTCAATGATATTTTTTCTATCGCTTAAGTATGTATTGATGATGGTATCTCTCTCTCTCTCTCTGTAGATTTAATATTCATCAACGATAGGTCATATTTGTTTTAAGCCAGAGCTGACGCTTCCATTGCATATGTTATACTCAGACCTAATTACCATGTTCTGTGTCGTGCATCTTGACTTGTACAACTATCACTACAAGAAAGTGATGATACAACGACATTTATTTAGTGACATTTGAAATAAATGTTGGGGAAAAAAATAATTTAATGACATCTATAAAAATGCTGTAAAAACGGTGTTTGACGCAAAATGTCGAAAACATATTACCAACATTTACAACTAATGTTGGATTTTTTAATTGTTAAATCATTCTTATCACTAGAATAGAAAAACTACTGGATGCATAAATTTTATAATCGACAAAAGAGTTTGGAACAAAATAAGAGGTTAAAATAATCTATTTAGGCAAGTTAAATGTTGTTTGTACAACTAGAATAAGTGAGTACTCTTCTAAAAGCAATACAAAACAAAGCATAAGACCAAAAAGTCTAGAAAACTAGAACCATCAAAGGCCACTCTAGTACTCATGTGGGTTGTTTGGAGTGAGAGGAATATTAGAGCTTTTAATGGAGTAGAGAAAGATCTTGTACGCTCGAGGAGTAGCCTCTTTTCCCTTATTTATTTTTGGGTGCACCCCGGAAGTTCTTATTTGTATAGAAGATTGGGTGTCAGTCGTAGAAAACCATGTTCTCTTGTAAGGTTTTCTACTTTTTGGTATATTCCTTGTATACGCGCATCTATTTTGTCCTTTTTAATATTACCTTATCAAAAAAAATGATTAGCCAAGATATTGCCACCAGAAGACACCCAATTCGTAGAAGCACCAAAACCCCTGATTGAATACCAAAACCAAATAGAAGCCTATGATGCATGTATTTCGCAAATCTACTCCATCTTTTCTCAAATCCCATCCGATTTTTGTCAAATTGGGTCGACTCTGGCTCCGTAATGCATTCGTTCTCTACAATTAAGGCTATCAAAGAATATGGAGAGCTTTGGACTAGTTTGGAGATTCGTTTTTTTTTTTTTTTTTTTCTTTAAAGGTTTTAGGGCTTCCCTCCTTTGAATTTCCTAAAGTTGTAGCTTTCTTTACTAATTAAAAATTTCAAACTACTGATAATTCTTAGTATTTTATCAAGCTTGGACTGTGCGTAAGGCGAGTGATACTATTCCCCTAATTTAGATCCTTACTGATTTAAGAGATTTGGAACCAATAACATTATAGATACGTAGAGATTATTAGTAAGATTTGGCGTTGGCTCTTGATTTATTCTTAAAGTACCTCTTATACTATGTTTGCACATTATGTAATTTCACGTGAATCTCTGTACATTCCAGTGTTATCAAAGGTGAAAAGCGTAAAAAAGCTCTAAGGTCTATTAGGGCTTTAAGCGCAAAGCACAAATAAAGCGCGGGCTTTAATGAAGAAAGGCGCAAATGGAGAAAAACTACAAATATGTATGTGTAGCCCAAGACTGATATCAATAAGCATGAATACCAAATATAAGGACAAAGAAATAGAAGAAAATTTTCGATAAAGTAAAATATCAATTGCATAGTGTCGCTTCTTCAGGATTACGTTTATTGGCAAGAAAAAGTATGTCTTAGAGCCTTGATGCAACACTGAAGTGCGAGGCTCAACATGTTTTGAGCCTAGCTTTAGGGCTTAAGCGCGCCTTTGATAATACTGGTACATTCTATCTATCAGTCGATAGTTCGCCATTTATTTGCAGTTTGAAGAATACATGAAATGGAGGCAACACTACTGGAATAACGTTGATATAGGGTTCACGAATCTTTGTGAGGCTTTTGCAGGCTCGTATCTACTTTCTATTTCGTTTAATAACGAGTAGATAAGCCAAGAAATAGCTCATCTACGTGCAAATTTGAAGAAAATATTCCTGAAGCAAGTAACTCATCTAGCTAGTATTATTAATCATTCTTAATTAGCACTCTAAATTGCTGCAATGCTTTTACTACTTTTTTCAACATGTTCTTTAAAAAAATTTAAGATCATCAGTGACTGAGATTGCAAATACCACTTCACTAGGTAGAGGTAAGGTCTGCGTACACACTACCCTCCCCAAACCTCCAGGGGCGAATATACATGGTCATAAGAGTGGTCAATTGACCACCCTTCGTTGAAAAATTACACCGTGTAGATAAGTAAAATATTACGTTTTAGAGGTATATAACACATATTGAACACCCTTTTGTGGGAATTTTTTTTTTACTTCTTTCAAATTTGAATACCCTTGGGGAAATTTCTAGCTTCGCCACTGCAGACCCCACATGTGAGAATATGATGGGTAGCTAGTTTAAACTAATTTTTTCATTAAATTAAAATATGGAGAGCTAATTCTTTGTTATGTAGGAGTCAGAAAAGTATTTTTGTGTTCTAAAAGTATTTTCGAGGTTTCCTGTTTCCTAGTTAATTAAGCTCTTTATATTTGTTTGCATTCTAAAATAGATCTAATTTAAGTTAAATCAAATATTTATTTGATATTAGTTCCGTAAAATTTGGATTTACTCGAAATACTACTCCGTCGTTGTTAGATTATTTTATTTTTTGGGTGTCTAGTAGTTTGATATTGCTTAGCCACCATAAATGTTACTCCCTCCGTTTCATATAGATGAGGTAGTTTGACTCGGCACGGAGTTTAAGAAAAAAGAAGAAGACTTTTGAGTGGTCTTAAAAGCTTAAGGAGTAAAAGGTTTGTGGGGCCATGACATTTGTGTGACTACAAAAGCTTCTCATTAAAGGTAAATGGGTAAAATGAAGATTTTAAAGTTAAATTATTTCTATATTTAGAAATGTGTCATTTGTTTTGGAACAGACTAAAAAGGAAAGTACCTCATCTAATATGAAACGGAGGGAGTAAAAAATTTTGGTTCGCGAGAGTAACTTTAGAAAAAGAAATTGAATCTGGATATATTTTTTTAATCATTATTATGGACAATATCTCTTTATTCATTAGTAAAGTATGATCTAAATATGCATATGCTGTGATTTATCCTTTGTAATTTCTGAATATTATGCCTATGTATATTTATTTTATCAATGTTTTTAGTTGATGTCTCGTTTCGTTGTTACTTGCCATTGGTATTTCCGTAGTTTGCTAGCAGTACTTCGTTCATATTGTCGTCTGCTGCTCGGAATTAGTTTTCTAAATATATTATCTTGCTACTACTTGTTATCAGTACCCCTTTCATATTATCTATTGCTATCTTCGATTTAATTTTCTAATTATTGTCTTGCTATTACTTGCTACCAAGGCTTCTCTCACCTTCTTTAGCCGAGGGTCTATCGGAAACAGTCTCTCTGCCCTTCCAGGGTAGGGGTAAGGCTGCGTACATCCTACCCTCCCCAGACCCCACTTGTGGGACCACACTGGGTTGTTGTTGTTGTAATGTTTTTAGTTGATGATGAGTGGCACTTTTGTATCAACCCCCCCCCTCTCTTTATATATATATATATATATATATATATATATATATATATATATATATTAATGAATAAGAATAGGATAAACTTATTAAAATGATTCGTTATATGAGAATGGAGCCAAAGATTTTCTTCATTTTGCTTCATTTTGGGGATGTGCCATGGTGTATGTTATTCGCTGATGACATAGTTCTAATTGATGAGACGCGAGACAGTGTTAACGAGAGGTTGGAGGCAGGCCCTTTGAGTCTAAGGGTTTCAAGTTGAGCAGGACTAAGACAGAGTACCTGGAGTGTAAGTTTAACGCTGAGTCAAGGGAAGTATGCAAGGACATGAGGCTTGGATCACAGGTTATCTCCAAGAGAGGTAGTTTCAAGTAACTTGTGTTGGTTATCCAGGGGGACGGAGAGATCGACGAGGACGTTACTCACTGTATAGGGGGAGACTGGATGAATGGAGGCTAGCATCTGGAGTCTTGTGTGACAAAAAAGTGCCACCGATACTCAAAGGTAAGTTTTATGAAACTGTGTTTAGACCAGAAGATGAAGGTAGCAGAGATGAGGATGTTGAGGTGGATATGCGGACACACTAGAACGGATAAGATTAGGAATGAGGATATTCGGGAGAAGGTGGGCGTGGTCCCTGTGGATGACAAGATGCGGGAAGCGAGGCTCAGATGGTTCGACACGTGCGGAGGAGAAACCTTGATGCTCCAGTGAGGAGGTGTGAGCGGTTGGTTTGGTGGGTACGAGAAAGGTAGAGGGCGCCGTAAGAAGTATTGGGAAGAGGTGATTAAGCAGGACATGACACGACTACAGATTTTCGAGGACATGGCCTTGATAGGAAGGTCTGAAGGTCAAGCATTAGGGTTGTAGGCTAGGGGGTAGTTGAGCTTTTTCTACTTCATACCGGGGGTGAGGCGGGTTTGATAGGGTTGATCTTAGACGGTTAGTGGTTAATGTTGAGTCCACACTATCCTTTCTGTTTATCATAGCCCTGGGCGTTAATTACTGGTTATTGTTATTGCATGTCATCTATTTTATGGTTTTTATGCGTCTATTACTATTTCTATGGTTTCTGCTGACGTTACTGATGAATTGTCTCTTCTTGTTTTATTTCCGTCTTCCTGAGCCGAGGGTCTATCGGAAACAGCCTTTCTGCCCCATCGGGGTAGGGCAAGGTCTGCGTACGCACTACCCTCCCCAGACCCCACTTTGTGGGATTTTACCGGGTTATTTTATTGTTGTAGATAGGCTTGATGCATCAAAATTCTTGTGTCCATGCCGAAAGTGTCGTAATATGAAATTTGTTCCAAAAGATTTGATTATTGAACACCTTATGGTTGATGAATTTCTAACTAGTTACAATACTTGGATTTTTCATGGCGATATATCATCTTCAGCAATGTCCTTTAATTAATTGGATAGGGGAGATGAAATATAAGACTTGTTACATGATATTTTTTGAGTTCCTCCTACAAGAGACTTTGTTGATATGGACTTTCTTGATATGGACAGTACTGATAGTAGATTTGGTTGGTCAAATCAACATAGAAGGAGGTTTGATAAGAAGACCGAAGAATTTTTTAACTTAATGAAAGAAGCTAAGCGTGATTTATTATTGAGAACCAAATATTCGTTACTTTCTTTCCTTGCTCGTTTATTACGTTTAAAGTGTCTCAATGGGTAGAACAACAATTTATTTTCCATGCTGCTAGAGTTGCTAAAAGATTTCTAAAGGTGAAACATTGTCCAAGTCCTTTAATGTTGCAAAGAATTTAAAAAAAAATTAGAGCTCAAATACAAACAGATACATGCGTGTCGACATTACGGTATGGTCTATTGGAATGAGACAAAAGATAGAAGAGATTATAAGTTCTGCAAAGCTCCAAGATATAAACAATCTGTAGGTGCATCAATTAGTTATAGCTCGGAAACCTCAAATAATTCCCACAAAGGTGTTTAGATGTTTTTTATTGATACCATGACTTCAAAGGTTATTCATGTCATGTAAAACATCTACTCAAATGAGATAGCATGCTGAAGGTCACGTTAGAGACATAGCAATGCGAAATCTTGTTGATAATATTGCTTAGAGACAATTTGATAGATTGCATCTAGATTTTGCTCGAGATCCTTAGGATGTTAGACTTGGATTATCTTCATATGACTTTAAGTCCGTCTATGTCTATCTCACATAGCTTATGGCCAGTTGTCTTGGTTCCGTGTAATTTGCCATCATGGTTGTGCATGAAATAACCATATATATTATACAGATACACTTTTGGATACTAAGTAAATTGAAGCATGTGTCTGATTCTTAGTTGTTTTTCCCTCTGAAGCAGAGTTTGGCGACTATGTTTTAACAATATTTCTTATATAGGAAATTTTAGTTCTTTATCTTGGTTTTCTGCTTTGAACTTCTTAGCGACTTGACTTACTATCATACGGAGATTGACAGCTGTCTAAATAGGCAGTTGAAGAAAGTTCTGATGTAGTAAAATGATTTTGGTAGTGACGGTGCTTATCCCCATTCTTTTTATGCCGAGGTAGATCATTTTTCAGAGCGATACCAAATGCCAGTAAGGTTGCTAAGCTAGAGAAGTCATAGAGCTCTTTGTTTTTCTTAATATCATGTATTAATGGATATCACTCCAGTTCAGATATGAAAAAGAAAAAGAAACAAGTCTTCATATTGACATAGCTGTCTCTGTTAGATGTAAAATGGTTCTTTTATACATTGTTACTTGTAGATTGACTCGGATAGAGGACATCATTGAAAAGGTGCAGCAGTAGAGCATTCCCTTAAGCTAGCAGACAGACAGAAGAATGTACCTGAACGTCACTAGGCTTCCTCTCTTTGACCCGTCTCCACTTGTCCTTTTTTTTGTCATCCTTTTTTGCGGATATATTTATATGATAGGGATTGAGGCGTAGTATTTTTTTTTTGTTGCTGTTATGGATATTTATAGGTATTGATATCATTGTCTGTGCCGGACACTGTACCAAGTCAGGGCGCGTAATACTGTGAAGAACTTTTGCTAGTCTGTCCATCAGGAAAAGGTAATACCAACTGAGCTCATCCACAAAATTATACTTGTATAAGAGGCAAGCGTGCATTCTACTTTGATGATTCTTGGTTCATCTATGTCATACTATAACATCTCTATTTTTGTCGTATGCTTAAGCCAACTTAGGACACATGTCTACCTTTTCTGTAGTTTTTGTTCTACATACATCTCTATAGTTGTGAAGGCAATGACAAAAAGTTTTGTTGATCTCTGCACCTTCCAATAAGAAATCTCACTGTAAAATGCTTTTCCATGAAGCAATGGAAAGCTGTTTTATTCATCGAAACCTAGTGTGAGTTGGTAGGTTCGTCAACAAGGATTTGGTGATGTGTCTCCTTTTTTTTTCTTTTTTTTTGTTCATAAGTCCCAGATCTTTGGTTTAGTAGTAAAAGCGTAACATGTGATGTGTAGGTTACTTGCACGCCACGAACCTGCTATAGACAAAACCTTGTTATTTAATTGGATGATAAGGGTAGATGAGTGGGCTCATTATCCATCGAGTTTCGAACCGTGAACTAATGGAACTTGGGGATTCTCGATTATTTAAAAGTCAATCTTTTTTCTAAATGTAAAAGTTGCTTCAATCAATTTATTCTCAGCTTTCTCTTGGGTTGGCTTTCATGCATCCTGCATATTAATGTTAAGTCTGTTTGCCTGATTCTTGGTTTTTCACTGAAGCGTAGTTTGGGGACTATGTTTCTTACCATATTTTCTGCATAGCTTATTTTAGTACTTTATTTTCTTTTTCTGCTGTCAACTTCTTAGTGACTTGACTTACCATCATGTGGAGATGGAGGGCTGTCTAAATAGGCAGTTTGATGAAGGTTCAGATGTAGCATGGAAATGGATACTCCAGTAGTAAAACAATTGTAGTAATGACTGCATAATATTTACTCTGGAGTCTACATTTTTGGTGATACGCATGCTCGCTAAGCTAGAGAAGTCATAGAGCTCTGAGTTTGTCTTAATATCCTGTAATGGATGTAAGTCCAGTGATTGCTATATCTCTTCAAATTGCAAAAAGAAAAAGAAAGAATTCTTCAGTAGACATATATGCTGTCTGTGTTAGGTGTTGATCGGCTCTTTTATACATCGTATACTTGTGCACTTGTGGCGTGAGCGGCTATCACGGAGGACATTATTGAAAAAGTTGAGCAGCTGAGCATCTCCTGAAGTTAGAAGACAGACGAAAAAATGCACCCCCCAAACATTTTTCCAAACATGTGTAATTATGATTGCAATTTGGATTCTCTACGACATATCAAACTGGAAAGCTTATTTTAGGGAGATTGATTTAGCTTATAATGATAACATCAATTATTTGCTTTAGAGTAGGGAAATAAAGAAGGATTTAAGTTATATAAATTCACCGCGTGATATTTTTCATGCAACCAATCTAATTTAACCGATTATAGCAAATTATTAAGAAAGAATTACAAGAAAATACACATGACTTCACACCATAACAAAAAATGGCCCATATTTTTAAGTTTTACCCCACCTAGCCCACGTTATACATATTTTGAAAACTGAAATGGTATTTTAAATTCTTAAGCATTATGACCTTTTCATATCTATGTAGTGGTTACATATCCTCTCCAGGAAGAGGTCTTCTAAAAGCTTCTTCTTTGCTGCTCGTGTTTTTCAATTACAATTGCTTAAAATTAGAGTGTCAATTGTTATTACTCCCTTCGTCCTATTTTTATTGATTTTAGTTGGAAATATTGTGCTTTTGAAAACACTAGCAAATTCAAAATTTGTGTTCTTACAACCATTTCTTCTAAAAGTTATGGAGTTAAATCTATGTTCTCACAACCATTGCTTTCACTATCTCTTCTTCTAACATCTTCTACATATGTTTCAAAGGACCGTGTATTTTCTGCTTGTTCTCTTGTGTCACCTGCTTGCAATGTAAGAAAATTGAAGAGTAGAAGTCCACCATTGGAGACCATTCAAAGCTTTGTTTTTGAAAATGGTTTTTTTGAATTTGTTAGTTGTTTGGATTGAGTGTTGTTCCAATTGATTGAAAATATCAATAGGAGTTCAAAATTTAAATTTGAAGTGATTTGGATTAGATTTGAGCAAGATTTGAGTTAAATTTTAGAAAAGACGCAAGGAAAAAGACGAAGTCAGTTTTTTGTATAATTATGTATAATCTTGTATAATAGTGTATATTAGTGTAGAAACACAGCTTATACACTATTATACACTTTTATACACCTTTATACAAGCGTCTGTAGACGAACTTTTTCCACGATTTTCAGTTGCAATTCTTGTTCAAAACCAGTCCAAATCTCCATTAAATGACTTCAAATTTTATATACAACCTCCTTATACTATTTCTAACAAGTCTAAATAACACCCACTCCAAATTTCTCACAAAATTAAATTCGGAATTTAAACCCACATATTTGAGCTTGTTAAAAATCTAATTTTCACCACCCAAATGAATTTGATTTGTTGAATTAATATTTGAGTCACAGTTAGTTACTGATTCGAAAATAAATTTAAAAGCTTGAGGAATCTTTTTTAAAAATTAAATAGTAATTTTGAGAATCTATTGGAGTTGGATGTTGAATCTTAGTTTATTATTTTTGGGCTAGTTGATTATAAATTAAAATATGGGCTATAAAATTGAAAAGTAGGGAGCCCAGTTGTTCTAATGTGAAATTGTCCCAATTATTAAAGGAAACTTACATAAATGTCCCAAATAAGTTTCAACTTATCAACTTTTAGCCATTAATCATAGACTTATCAAAACTAGTCAAGCATATATAAAAATTAAAAATTTAAATAAATAAGATTCTTTCTCTCCAAGAATCACACGCAAAGATCTCCTTTCATATTTTGGATGAGGTAGCAAACAAAGTGATTAAATACAAAAAAAATATTATATACAAGATTCAGAAAATCTAAGTAAAAAAAAGGACCCTTTTCAATGGGTATGGTTGTAATTCATTGAAAACATATATATGAGGCAATATACAAATTTTGAGGAAGAATGGAGGTGATCTGGACTGATTTGGTATCAAAATTCATTGTTAAAACCGAGTTTACAAAATTCTTTTGCAACACATATATCACGCACACTGGTATACAAGATATACATTAGATACAAATATGATACGTATGTGATACACATAATTTTTGTTCATGTTTCATCTTCTACTTCGAACTTTCAATTCAAATCACCTCAAAACTATGACAAATCATCTGAAAATTCAAACTCTTTAAAATGTAGCCAGTCTATTCTAATAACACCTACTCAAAAAAGTAAAAATTTGACCCTTTTTTTTTTACTACAAATAGCTAATTGGCTAATATTGATAACATTTGGCTAATATAAGTAATATTTAATGAATTGGCCAATTTTTGTAATATAGAAGGACATAGCTGATGGTTTCCCAATTATTAATCTATTATTTAGGTTAACAAAATGACTTGCTATCAAGAGTTACATATTATCGTAGGTTAACTTAAATTAACTAGATAGTGTACAAAATTATTACAGGATAAGAGAACTTAACTCCAATATAGAACTAATGACCCGACATTTGTTGTAGACTGTGTAGTAAGAGATTTATATGTCAGTAAAAAATATAGAATATCTGGTGCTAGAGAAATTAATAATTTTATATATTATTTTTGGATTAATAGCCGTGGAAACAACCTCTTGTAGAAATGCAAGATAAGGCTGTATACGATAGACCCTTGTAGTCCGGCCTTTTTCGAACCCCGCGCATAGCGCAAGCTTAGTGCACCAGGCTGCCCAGTAAACCATCCACCACTGATTAGCAAAATCCCTTATCCTATCTCATCATCATGGTCACAAAATAACCACTTCTAACTGTACACAGAAAGGAAGACAAGTAGCCATGTCTTCCTTAGCAACCAGACAACTTTTCCACATAACAAGTAGTAATTCCCAAGAGCAAATTTGTCCTTTCAGGTCTAGTCCTGTGTTCCTAACCAACAAGACCAACAACAGTAATAGATTCTTTAACATCAGTGACTTTCCGGATTACAAGAATTTGACTGTTGTGGTAAAGGCAGCTGCTGGGGATGGAAGAATTTCACCTACGAATCAAGATGATGAAGATGGGGTGTCCTTAGAAACCATGAAATTGCCTCTGTATGTTGATCTTGCCAGATTTGAAACTCCACTTTTTCAGGTATTTTTTATTGTGATTTTGTTTCTAGATAATTGTTTTCCACCAAAATTGTTTAAATTTCTCTAGGACGGGTCCTAGCTAGCTTGCCTCCACCTCTAGCGGCCTAACCTACACCTCTAATGGCATGACCTCCACCTTTAGATGCCTGACCCCTACCTTTAGCTGGCTGAGCGGGCGGTGAAGCACCCGGTGCCGGGACCATGGCACGAGAACCCTGATGCTGTGAGCTACCGATGTCCGAGGGCAAAATCTAGCAATGTGCCTAGGATCACCACAAGTATAACAGGACCTCGCCTGCTATGACTGATGACCCTGAAACTGACCCTACTGACCTGAGTAACCACCCTGAAAACTCTAGAGCGGAGGTGCACTAATAGGAGCTGGTGGTGCATTGTAGACTAGCTGGTCGGAATGAGACATATAAGGACCGCGACCACCTGAAGCACTATGGGATGCCTTGAGCGCTGAATGAAATGGCCTGTGTTACATCCCGTACTTTAACGTTAGGATTCGTCAAAGTAATAATATATGAGTTGGAAGGGATTAAGGTTATACATGAAGATAAGAATATAAGATCGTGTAAGTTTGAAGAATTTCGGAACTACTATATATTGGCTTGATATGTATTTTCATTGAAGCAAACTATTTTCAGTAAAAGTTGATAAATACGATTTTATATGGTTGTGATAAGTTTTTAAATTAAGTACATGACATGTGGAAGTTTATAAATGAGATTTTATTTATTTTAAGAGTAGATAGTATTTTATCATAAGAAAAGTTATCATTTTTCCATTTTGAGAATTTATAATACAAAAAGAATTTTTTTATTGTAAAGATATAAATTATTTTCTCACAAGGAAAGAAGGTTATCCTTTTTACCATTTTAAGAATTAAGCGTACGAAAATTTGTACTCTTTATATGAGATTAGAAAAATTAGAAGTTGAGAAAATATAGGTATTTTTACATCAGTGACTTTCCAGGTTAAAATACCTATCTAAGTGGTGCTGTCAGACTGATCCTTAAAATGGTTAAGGCAGTGAAAGATACGGTGAGGTCGACCAAAAGTGATTGATTTATCGCCACAGGTATGTTAAGGCTATCCTTTCTTTCTTTTGGCATGATCCAAGTATCGATACGTAAACGTAATATTATTCCATAAGTGTTTCTACTCTTAGCAGTTAAGGATGTCTATGTTATTCATTCCCGTAAAGTGATATTCAAGCATGTCTAAGTACATATCCAGTTCTCTATTGAGGTATTTGATAAAGATGTTAATGTTCATAATATGCATTTACCACCGAGCTACGGCCGGTCGGGCAGTTATACATTTACCACCGTGCTACGGTCGATCGGGCAGTTACCACCGATTGGGCAGTTATGTATCATTATTTACCACCGGTTGGGCAGTCATGCATTTACCACCGTGCGATGGCCAGTCGGGCAGTTACCACTGGTTGGGCAGTTATGCATCATTATTTACCACCGGTTGGGCAGTCATGCATTTACCACCGTGTGATGGCCGGTCGGGTAGTTACCACTGATCAGTTGGGCAGTCATACATCATACGATATGAATAATAGTCTCAAAGCGAATCATTATATATGCAAGTATGAATATACGGTGGCGCTTCAGAGATGCAGGTTGATTCTTATATGTCTTTAATTAATGTTGACTTATTGTTATATTTCAGTTCTGCCTTACATACTCAGTACATTATTCGTACTGACATCCTTTTGTTGGGGACGCTGCATTCATGCCTGCAGGTATAACTAATCAGTTTGACGAGCCCTCATCGTAGACGAGATTGGCATTCAGTGAAGGATCGGTAAGACTCCATCTCATTCGGAGTGCAGCCGAGTCTATGAGTCATCATGTCAGAGTTTTGCTACAGACTTATGGGTAGGCTAGTACCCTGTCCCATGTGATGTCAAGCTATCTTAGAGGCTTTGTAGACAGAGGTTCATTTTGTACAGTATGTCAGAGGCCTTGACGGCCCATATGTATTCATGATTTAAGAAAAATAGTTCAGTGATACAGTGTTGCCCACATATAGTTATACATTACAAGTTGTGGCCATGTTGGCCCATGATAGTTACAAAAGGAATGAATGAGTTACAGAGTGGTTCGCTCGGGCCAGTACGGCACCGAGTGCCAGCCACGCCTCCCCAGGTTTGGGGCGTGAAAGCCCGGGAGGATGGCCTCTACCAAAGGTACCCCTGCCTCCAGATGAGGCACCACTGAAACCACCGGAATGACGAGGCCTCTTATCTGACCCCTGCCCTCTCTCCTGTGAAAGAACCATCTCGATCCGCATGGCGACATTAGCATCTGTCTGAAAAGAAATTTCACCCCCAATCTCCTTGGCCATCTGTAACTTGATAGGGTGAATGAGTCCCTCAATAAACCTCCTCACCCTCTCTCACTTAGTAGGAAGCAAAAGAAGAGTATGACAATCTAGGTCCACAAAACGGGTCTCGTATTGAGTGACTGATATACTGCCCTACTAGAGACGCTCAAACTGCCTACGGTAATCCTCCCTCAGTGTGATAGGGAGGAAATTGTCTAGAAATAGCTGAGAGAACTGGATCCAAGTAAGATTAGGTGACCCAGCTGGTCTGGTCGATACAAAATCCTTCCACCACTTCTTGGCGGAACCCGTCATATGAAACACAACAAAATCGACCCCATTGGTCTCAACTATCCCTATGTTTCGCAGCACCTCATGACAACGGTCAAGATAATCCTGTGGGTCCTCATAAGGTGCACCACTGAAGTGAACTGGGAAAAGCTTGGTAACTTGTCCAATCTCAATAAACCCTCAGAAGACATGGCAGGTCCATCACCGGCCTGTGCCGCAACAACCGACTAAACTACTCCAACTAGCGGGGCTGCTGGAGTCTGATACTGGAGAGCCATCCGCTTTGGAGTGTGAGTAGCGGGAGTCTGTGCTCCTCCCTTGGCTTGAGAGACTGCTGGTGCCATAGGAAATGTACCGGCTCGGGCCACACTCTCCATAAGGCTCACCAAACGGACTAGAGCGTCTTGAAGTACCGGGGTGGCGATGAACCCCTCCGGGACCTGAGCTGGTCCAAAAGGTACAGTCTGAGCTGGAACCTCCTCATCAAAATCCACCTCAGGCTCCGCTGCTGGTGCTGCTGCTCGAGCTCTAGGCCGAGCTATGCCTCTGCCTCGGCCTCGTCCTCTGCCCCTTGTACGATCTTAACTCTGGGGGGGGGGGATTTGCGGTTAGGATAGGAATATACCTAATCGCCTTTCTTGGTTATTATACGGGAATTATAAATGTGTTCTTGTTAATTCTAATTCCATAGGAATATAGGTATTAGATTAGCTTGAATAGGCGAGTTGTACTTCGGGAGAAGGCTACGAGCAATATTAACCCTGTCAACCAATAAACCAGATAAATTAATTAGACGATTTAAGTGAAAAACTCAACGGGATTGTTAGCTAACCCATAACTCTAGAATATTCACTCACATTGAATTCGTCTCAATAATTCGCCAACTTGTTTTCTTTAATCTCTTAATTTGTTACTCTAGATTAATTTTAGTTAAATATTCATACTTTAGGATTCGCTTGAATAGATTAATTGTTTGGTTTAATTTAGTTGATAGTTAATCACAAGTCCCGGTGGGTATGATATCTGGACTTACAATCATGTATTACTTGTCGACCACGTATACTTGCGTGTGTCACACCTCCTTTTTTACACACCACCCCGAAAGGTAGTGTATAAGGGAGTTTTTCCATTTTAATTGACATTATTCGAATTGGGATTATTTATTTATTTCAGAGTCGCCACTTGGGATAGGTTTGGCTTTTGGTGTCCCAAGTCACCGATTTATCTTGAATCCCAAATCAAGGAAATTTCGACTTCCCGAATGGAGTCTGCGAACCAAAAATTCTGAATAAGGAATTCTGTTGACTCGGAGGAAGGTGTTAGGCACCTCTGGATCCCGTGGTTCTAGCACGGTCGCTTAAACTATTATAAATGGCTTGATATCTGATTTTAATACATGTCATCCTATAGTGTAATTTTTAAATTATTTACCGCTTTTAATTAATTTTAAAGAAATTGAACGTTGTTTAAAACATGTTTTTGGATCACGTCACATGAAATGCACCTGGATCTGCGACACATTTTATTCAATGTTTTAGGATTTGGATTTGGGTCACATTAAATGCACACCCGAATTTAGGAAAAGTAAAATTATTAAAGAACGCGCCTAAAGTGGCTAACGTGTTATTAACTTTGCGGGAGGCCATGAAAATTCGCTAAATGGCACGTCCCGAGTTCTAAATATTTTAATGTGAATATTTAAAGCGGGCCACGCAATTTGTGAATTTTGTTTGGCGCGGCGCACCCCGTTTTATTTTAAAGGTCATCCTAAAAGAACTATTATTTTCTATTAAGTATTGTCTCTAGAGGGCCTAATTAATTAGCATTGTTATTTGACTATTGTTAGAAATGTTCAAACAAACTTGGGCCTCAAGATCAAGTCCAAATTCAAACAAGGGGACCTTCATTTATTGAAGGCCTCTTAATTCAAATTTGCTACTTAACTTGGAAAGCCTAAAATTGTTTTACGAAATGAAACCCATAGTTTTTGATTAAAGCCTTCAGCATTTGGCTTCGAAGTTGGTCCAATAGTGAGGAATTTTCAGCCAGTTTTATGAGGAGTTGCCCCAAATGGGCTTCTGCACAGGCCCAGCGTGAGGGCATCGAAATTGGGACTTAGGCCCGGACCGCCCAGGCCCTTGATTTAATGAAATCAATTGAGTTAGAAGGGGGTGGGCCTGGTGTCAATTCTGGACTGTTATTGTATAACTGGGCCATGTTAAATCAATTCTTTATGGCCCAGACGGTCCAGGTAATAATCAAATTAAACTAAACTAGCTTTACTAAATTAATAATGATTCAAATTATAAACTAATATCTGGACTTAATTTCTGATGCACATGAAACATGAAACTAGAATTTAAGAGGAAGCTAATGGTGGACGTTGAGATACAATCTCACATACAAATAGAATTGAAACATTTTATTCATGTGAATCTACTAGGCTAACGGACCTCTCATAAGAAGATATGAAAATCATTGACCACTGATATTGAACGAAAATAGATCACCTGTAATTATTAAATGCCTAAGCTTAATGAATTACAAGTTTTCAATTCCTTCAAATGACTTCAAATGCTCAAATCGCAGGCTAAACCATAGCAAACTCTCAATTTCGAACTAATAGGCTAATAGACCTACTCAAATTCCTATAAAGTCCTGCTTCAATTACAATAACCTATATGCTGTGTATAGTAACCTATATGCAAACAATAAACGTCCAGTTTTCAATTACAATGTTTCCAAAGGGGAAATGATAGAAATCATCCTACAAATACAGGGAGTTATTGAATGAAACAGTAATTCTAGTGCACAAGCAGACATGTAAAACATAATAGATCTTCTAATCCTCTTATTTCCTTCTTCAAATCAGCCTTTCAACAGCACATAGGGATTTTGAGATGTATGTACCTAGAAATGTGTTGAAAGTAAGAAGATGAAGGATCAGCAACAGTAAACAGCAATTAACAGCAGCCTAAGGTTAACCTCAAACTCAGAGAGTGATACCAAGCAAACAGGGAATGTTTTGAAGCAAACAACACCAATAAACACCCAAACTCAGCTTAATTGACCCAAATTGAACTCAAAATAACCTCCAGGATCCTCTAAAACTTCAACTACTGAAGATATAAAGGAACTTAAACCATTTGACCTCGGATGAGCTGTGATTTGGCTTTAGAACTAAAAAAAACTCAAATATTTTCAATGAAACAGTAAGTTCTTTTTTTTAGATTTTTAGTAGCTTTTTCAGTAGCTTTTGAGTTTGAATTTTGTTTTTTTTTTGAATTTTCAGATTTTTTGGACCTGTCAAACTCTCAGATTTTCAAAACTCCTGAAACTTGCAAGACTTTTAGACCTCTCCCACTTTAAGACCTCCAAAACTTCAAAACTTCTAAAACTTGTGAAACAAGGCAAGGGGTATGCCTTTTTATAGGCAAAGCCTAGGGCAACCTTCAGATTTCTGTTTTACACCCTAAGTCCTTCTTTTATTTTCAGTTTTTAACTATTAGACCCCTC